ACCATTACCGGGTCCGCGACTGAAAAGAAAACGTGACCTTTTGGCACGCATAAATAAACAACGCATAGCGAAAAACTGTAACTCGGAGGGAATGCGACGATAGCAGTGGCGATACAATCCGAGAGTTTAAAAACATGAAATTACCTGGGTCAATGTATAAAACAGAAAAGCAATATTTATCTATGAACCGATGCCTACCTAAGCCTGATATTTGCCAAACCAAAAATAATTACATTGCTAGTGCTTGCGGAATTGCTTTCAGTAAACAAAACTCGTCAGAGAGAAAGACAATATTAGATGCGGAGCATCTCTTGCTCGGGTCTATGTCCCGCGGCGTCGTAGTCCACACTCACACTACGCATGAGCAACTCTCCTCCTTCCCTCTCTCCAACAGCGGCACGTTACTCTCTTCGCTCTCTCTCTCTACCAGCTGCGTGCACTTCGCGTGCGTTCGCTTCTACTCACACCGCGCGCGCATGCGAACCCTCCTCCTCTAGTCTCCTCTCCTTCAAGTGTGAATATAAGCAGCGGTAGCGCGCTGCGCGCGTTCAAGGGGAGGATGTGGCCGAGTGGGCTAACGCGTCTCAGCTCGGAGCGTGGAGCGAAAGCTTGCGCTGAAAACCTCCTGGGTTCGATCCCCGCCGCCCCCGCCCGTTTCAATCTGGAAGAGTTTCGTAGCGGCACGTGTTAGTGTGATCCCTACTGCGTGATGCACGTTAAAAAGTTACACCATCTTGAGAGGGGAGCCATGGGGTGATGCGGAGCATCGCGGACTTTCCAACAACGTGCACGCGATGTGTGGTAACCAACGCAAGTTAACAACGTAATAACACGCAAGTTGACGACGTTACTAACACCGTTAATAACGATCCGCGATGCTCCGCATCCCCCCCATGGTTCTCCTCGGGAAGATGGTGTAATTTTTTTGTTTCATTTCGCTGACCAGTAATGTTTCCTGAAATAAATTTCACACATGTACCCGAGTCACTTCTTGATTTGACAAATACCGAGCTAAAGTAAACCCCGGCTCATAAAAAGTTTTTTTTTTTTTTTTTTTTTTTTAATTTTTGCTTTAGGTAAAGTCAAGACCTCAAAATTTTGCATCGCCTCACTAGCGCTAGCATAACATTGTTAGATATCCACACAAACCTGCTTGATCGTGTGCTTGCGCCATACTTCTTCATGGATATACGGCAACACTGCCATGAAAGCCCACGTATTTATTATTAAAAAAGATATGACAATAACACCTAGGCTTTGCAATTTGAAACATTCACCATGCTATGACTTTAATATATGATATACTCCAATACTTTTGCCAAATTACCAAGATGCCAGCGTATAAACTTCAAGTACCTCAGCCGAACAAACATTTTGAGACAGATAGATTCTAAGTTAATCGGAGTGTATCATTTGTTCTTCGACAGAAAAGGACGGCTTAATATTTTATATTTTAAGTGTAACCATTTCCCGATTTTGTGCCAAATGTTTTGGTTTCTAATATGTTCCTTGCCCGTATTAAAAGTATTTTCAGAGGCACCACTCGCTAAAATATTTTAAAAACAACCCAGTTTATACGCCCCAAATTTGAAAATTCGACAAAATATAAGATTTGCTATTTAAATACCGTACGCCAGAATAATTAATACCGAGCTGGGTATATTATGATTTTTCTCAAAGTTATTCGATGGGGTTCCCGATACTGATTGGCCAAATCAGCTGCGTTCGTCCTCGTTCAGCCAGACGTTTAGAATTATTTCTAGAATTATGCTAATAAATCTATAAAGTAGCAAAATATAATTTGACATTGATAAACTTTTTATGGCACAAATTTGCTTTTAACATATTATTATTTTTTCTTTGTTCGGAACAAAGGTAGTTTTATGTATGCAAATGACATCATTGGGGTGTATAAATGGGTTAAATGGGCTGATTGTTGTTGTGAATTTAATATTTGGCACGAAAACGTGTGAACATAACAAAATATTAATATATCTAAATTAAATCCCGGCAGCTGATCAATTGAACCGGTCGACGGGAACTACTACTACGTAAGACATTGTGACAGGTGACTGGCTGAGCTGGTTCGTAGCCTCAAGTTTGGTTCATTTTGAAAAAAAGAAGCCATCGCGATTTCGTCGATTTTTTTTCCTACGCTCAAGTGGAAGGCGGATGTTGGAAGTGTTTTACGGTGCTAAGCACGTATCACGTTTTCCTTTTTAATGAGCAACAACAAAAAACAATAGGCTCGAAAGTCGCAGAAAAACAAATGCTGAGTCGAAATAAAAAAAAAAAAAAGGAAAAAGTGGGCTTAGATGGACTAAGACCGGACATGCTCCCCGGACAGAAATAGAGCTTGGGCCGACAGCGGGGCTTCAAATGATTGATGACGAGAAATCCGATAGCATCTCGTGAATCGTGCCACGGCGTGGATCTCGAGGCTCTCCAACGCAATTTACGAATTGTCTTCCGAGACGCGGAAGCGCTACTACACCCAGTTTCACATTAGAAAATTTTATGGAACCGTTTTTGCATATCCGGTGCGGTATGATTAGCTCTTTGCAACGAACTGCGCACGAGGGCACATTGTACCGTATCAGATGAGCCAAAGCGGTTCCCTAAAAACTCTACATCGAGTACCACCGCAGCCGATGTTATAATCTGATGAAGCCAGTCTAGCAGCTTCAAAAGTGCATGGTCACGCTGCTCGTAGTCTGCTTGATAGGTTCAATGGGATCGTAGCGTCCAACGGTCGGACTTGAAAGTGGCACAAGGTTCAAATCTGTTGTCAACTAAGTCAACGCGTAGGATTTTTAACAGGAATTGCGCTGTAGTTTATACAAAACCTCACACCGGTACGATGTTCATCACACAAGTTAACCAAGAAGCTAAACAAATATAAGTTACGAAAAAAAGCCACGTAGATTTTATGGCAAATCAAATATATTTCTAGTGTTCATCTTTGAACAAATTTGTTAAAAATCGTTTGTCTTTTTTCTTGGATAAATACAGCAGGCCACAGAAATATTAGGCGTCAATTGTTTCGACTTTTAATGAAACTTTGTTTTATGAAGGCAAAGAAGACCCGTACACCGTGCCGTATTTCGGGCAGCGCTGAAGGAAACAGGTGTATTCCGCCAGAGCACAGGTGTGGTGAAAGCGGCTGGGATGGAGCGGTTGGGGCGGGTTTTCGCCATCCGCTTCAAGACCGATGTGCCCCATCTCCTTTCGCGAACCGCCAACCAATCGCAACACGACACGGGTGGCTTTCGAAACAAGATTGCATCTGTCGCTGGTGTGTTATCGAAGGCGCTGTATAGTCCTATGCTGCAGCGGACAAATCAACAAGGAAACGTGAAGTTCGCGTCCATCACTTGAATCCGCCGAGAAAAAAACTCGCTCGTAATCTCAGCATGCTCCGGTGGTTTGGCTCGGCTAAGCTAGTTAGTTTATTATTCGGAGTGACAAAGCTCGTCATTGCGCTGCCTTGCTGGTCTTTTCCCCTGAAACATGGGAACCCGCCTCCGATCGACCGAAATGTCAGATTTTGTACCAACTAAGGTCGTCACGTAAGCTACTAAAGCTTTCGACACCGTGTATGACAGACAGGAAGGGAGATAGAGACGTCGTGAGCCTAATTGCGTAGTCAACGCACTAACGCGGAGCTGGAAGGGTGCCTGCCCTATCTCAACTTGTAATGTTTCTACTACCACAAGGAATGAAGGGAACCTATTCCAAAAATAAAGTGTACGTACAAGACGATGCCTTGGTAATCCAAATGGCGTTTTTTGAGCTTAATGTCAAACAAACGGCAGACGCGAACGACGTGTGAGTGACGAGCGGAGAGGCCGCTGCGAACGAAGCCAGGACCCGCTAGCACGAAACACATTCCTCGCATCACGGTCCACCAGTGACGCTCACTACACCGAATATGATAAGAGCGAACAACGCCGAATGAAAACTGGCCCTCTATCCCGGAAACAAGGTCAGCTACCCCTACGGGAAAGGTTCACTTCGAAGAAATGGTCGGGTGAATCCTTTTTTTTTTTTTTTTGTCACCAAGCGTCTAGCTGGACTTTGCTTTGTGAGAAGTCGAAGGAATCGCAGGCGTGTTTTGCGGGTCTATGTTTCTTTTATTCGCTATCTGAACTCGTGATGCGCGTGAGCATCCCGAAGAAAGACCTTCGGTACCAAAGTAGCTACATTTTGAATACGGATCGTGGATTAAACTGAATATTGGATTGCCAAACACCGTTGGACAAACGCAAGCCTCAAAAGATCACGCGTGACAGCCAAGAAGCCGCCAACCGCATCCCAGTGTAAATGAACAGGGTCGCTCGTGAACCGCATCCGCAATCGCTGAGCATCTATAGAGGTCCTCCCCGTGTCATATTTCGGTTTCGAGCAGTTCGCTTTTCTGGTTTTATTAAAAATATACGTGGCTCTGCAGCAAAATGTTGATTGGGTAGTCTTCCGACACCACACTGAGTCGCCTGGCAAAATAAACTAAGGTGTGTTTATGTGTGTGTGTGTGTGAGGAGGGTTCAGTGTTTCTTTAAAGTGAAACAGAGTATTGCATTGTCCCACGTACTCTAAGCGAGCACACTTACACGTTCGTTTGCGACACACTCATTAAACTCGGAGCGTACCAACTGCCAAGGGTTGTCGCAAGATTAGAGCTTAGAAACAGAGATGGCAGAGCCGCGACGCTTACTGTCTCGGTGTTCTGGAAAGTCATCGACATGGATTTTAGGGATTACCGGGGTCTAAACGAAAAGAGACACCGCGGGATTACCGGTATTTCCAACAACAACAAAAAAAAAAAGGACACTCGATAAAAAGAAAGAAAGAAATGGCCCGGGTGCCAGTTTCTCGCATGGCTCTACACTTCTGTGACAGACGCACCCTAAATTGGGAAGCTGTACAACTCATTTTGCGAGAAAAAAAATAAAATAAAACCGAAATATTTTTTTTTTCTTAATTGTTGCTATGGAACTCACGATAAATGTCGAGGGTAACCGACGAAGCGACGGTGTAGGTCCGGTTGTAGTCGGACGCCCGGCACGTGAGGCTGGCGTTGAGGTCTCGGGCGCGCAGCTGCGTCATTTCCAGCGTCGACCGGATCACGTCGTGGGAAGACCTCTCCGCCCTGCTATGAAGCTGCTCCGTCGAGTTGCGCCACCACGAGATCAATGGCTCCGGCACGCCTGCGTTGTCGGGAACAAAAGGAAAGGACGCAACGAAGGAAGTTACGAAGAGTAGCAGGAAATTTGGTCGATTGTGTTATTGTTCAATACACAGCCATATCAGAGAAAGGAACAAAAAAAGCCTACGCATATTATTAAAAAAAAACGGGTATCGAACGGGCATCAAAGCTTTCTGTACTTCGTTTGATATTAAGTCCAGACGTTGCCGACGCTGGGAGCTGATCAGACCAATCAGACAGCATCACGCACACAATTATGATGTCCGTCATTGTTTATGCACGTGTTTTATAATCGCTGAACCTATCATAAACAGAAAAAGGTCCAGTGACTTGCAGTTTTGAGGCGGCTTGATCGGTCCCATTTGCTCGTAATGTCGGCTCCGTCTGGACTAAAGCTAAAACGAAATATACAAGGAAATATCAATCAATGATAAAATGTCGTGCCACAAATATCACATAACGTATAAAAAATAACTGTATAAATAAACAAATAAAAAACGCGCGAAACAGATGGGAAACACGCGAACAACAAATGAAGCGAGCTGACGAGCTGGGGAATCTGCTGCGCAGCCTGATCACTCTCCACCCCTCTATGCGGCAAACGATGGCGATCATAGCTGGAGATGCGCGCCCTTGCAGTTCGCCCACGCCTCCAATATAGAGTGCTGTAAAAAAAAAAATTCCCTTCCGGAAAAAAAAAAAAAAAGAAAAAACTCTGAGGAAAGAAGTTTTTTTTCTTAAAACTTAAATCTTTTTCTTTTTTTAAGACAACTTTGATTTGCAGTTTCTTTTATTTTTTATTGTGATAAATCCGTGTGGGAGGGTTAGCTTTCGATGTTTATCTGTATTTACCGGAAACACGAAGTTTTAGATATAAATAGGCACGGCCCGCACATCATTCCTAACTCCGGAGAGAACGGAGAAACGAAACGAACGTCATGGAACCTGTATTTGGACACGAGATTGGCGTTACCGTTCGGCGTGAACTCGGCCTATATCGTATCGAAAACGCCTGCTGCGTCAACGTTCGGCGAGGGCTCGGGATCCACTGATCTCTACTGTAGTAGGCTGGATCGTGGACAGCGGCCTCGGCAGCTGGGGCCGAGTGTCGCTACCGGCGGCCGTTGATTGACACCAGCCAATGCGTGGGACTCTTAGGGAAGAACGAGAAAAAGTGCCGTTTCCCCCGTTTCTAAGCAGTTGTCGGCATTGAAACTTTTCGAAAGCTTTTCGATAAGCCTGTCAAATATCTTGCTTACAACAATTAAAACTGACAGCCCCTCGCAGTTCTTTTAAATAAATATTTTGTGGTTGAGAGTGACTCTGCCGTAGTGCAGCTCATTGAAGCAAGGGTTACCTAAGTTACCGCGGAGGGGGTGGTGGTTTCGGTGAGTTGGGTTTAGCAGACGACAAGCTCGAAGGCTTTGCTACGCAGAATTCGCTAACTCCCGGAAAGCCGCTGTCGAGACGGAACTTCTTTGTTATTCACCAACTTTTGGGCTTCCCCGAGGACGGTCTTATTGACGGCAGTTCCTTTGTTTTTCCACTACGAGAGCAAGCTTGCCAGCTCAGCCGTAGGTGCTCCGGTACGTTTGATTTTTTTAGTCGGCGTTCGAACGTTTGACAAATACCGATTCGATCTCCTAACACACGACATAATGATCGTAGCACACCATAAGATACTCGCCTCTGGTCACAGCGTACATGCTTTAATATTCTTACTTTTGTGCGTTTCTCCCGTAGACTTGCGTGTATTGCCTGGTGTCAAGCAATGGCCACCGATGGCGACACCGACGGGCTCCCGATCTGCGATCCAGCCTACTACAATAGAGATCAGTGTAGGGATCAAATCACACGCCTCGTGCTCCATAGATGGATGCATGGATGTTGATGGATATACACGTTGTAACGGGCGGCAGCTTGCGCCACCTAGCCTAAGTCTCAAAAGACAAACATTAGATTCCTCCCGCGCTTCTAAGCCAATGTTCTCCCTTTAGCTATCACCAGGCAGTGATAGTTAACAATATTGCTGGTCGCAAAAATGGCGACAACCAATATTGCTTGATAGATTTTTTTAAAAGAATTCATTAAGGCGGGTAAATGAGCCATATTTTAGCATTAGATCCTAATCCTGCCGACGCCAAGCTTGACGGATCAGGGGAAGAGTTCTTGGGGACCCTAAGGGCGACGCTAATTCGTCACATTGGCCGTTCGTCGAACTCCGCGGCGCTTTTTAAATCAAGAGAGGCACCACGCTCTCACCCCTGACGTGCGCTCAGGGGGGGGGGGGGGGGGGGGGGTTCCGTGGGAGTAATTGAGATTGATGACCGCGGGTGCCTGGCGTCCAGAATTGCGCTGCCCGCGTTTCCAGGTCTATGTTTGCTTTAATGTTCGAGGGACGCGCGCATAAAACTGTATAGACATTATGAAGAGTCGATGCGGAAGTTCCCATGTACCGTACTACTTTAACAAGCTTCGAAAATGCTTAATGTACCTCACTTCACTCGAGGTGATTACAAAAAAAAAAAACAGCAAAGACATGTACAAAAAATAATGATTTATAAGCAACCGGCAATATTGTTTCGCAAATTGTAACACTCTCCTGGAACAGTCAGATTTAATAAAATACAATGAAAACGTTGTTATTTTTACATTACTTAGTTTGAAGTGTAATTTAACTAAGTGTTGAGTAACTATAAGGTGCCTGACTAGGTATTGAAGTGCTTCGTAAGTTGTGAGTTACATGTTTTGCTAAAATTTATTGTTCCCTTGTTTGTGGATTGTGTTTTAATGTTAAAGTATCTATACAAATTAGTCGTTCTGAGACAAAATATGTATTTTTATTAATTTTGCACCGGAAGTTCAAAAATATCACTTCGGGATAAATTTATTTAACGAAGCAAATGCCGGGCTATGAGGATGAAATGATATTGAGCAAATTAATTACCTAAAACTTACTAATAAACTTTTTAAACATTCGTTCGAGTTGGCACATTCTAATTACAAGTTTGTTGCCTGTCGTCCAGATATATTAAAATTTGTGTTCGAATTCTGGCGACTCATTTTTGATCCGCGCAAAACACCAACTAAACACTGTATACACCATGCAGCGCTAATGGCGCCTTGGGCACACTTCCGGTTTGGGGCTGTGGTATAAAGGAGCCTTGTGCACCTTACTCAAAACAAAAATAATCGATTACAATTTTAATTACTCTCGGATGAAACGTACTAAATTAGATTATTTGATTATTTGAAGGAAAAAAAAAGTTGGCCGTTACTAGAAAAGGTAACCGTTACTTTCCTAATTACTTCAGATTTTCAAAACGACAAATTTTTCAGGCATTTCGGAAACTGTCCTTTTGTACTGTCCATTATTGGATAGGAATGACCAAATTATGAACTGCTTGTTTTCTTAATCCGCCAATTTCGGTAAACTACCTTCCTGTCGGAGGCTTGGTTCGAGGATTCCTTGGTACAAAACTTGTACAAACAACCGGCGTCATTAGGACGGGGACGGGGAAAATAGTAATTGTTTAAACTAATATTAGTACTTCTAAATGTAATCAGATTACTCCTGTGATAAGTTCCCAATAAAAGTATTTAAATTATTAAAAATATTCAAAAAGTAATTGATTGCAAGTAATTTGATTACTCGTGTGAGTACCGTACGCGTCTAATCGGAAGTCGCTATGCGGGACGGGCATTCCTGTGTTAATTGTTTTAGAAGAAACCAGATTAAAACCTGCCTTTTCGTCAAACGCCGCGGCTGCTGGGGCTGCCCCAAAAAGAGCGAAGGAAAAGATTTGAAGATCCGTTTTCACGTGTTTTCTGTCTGCACTGTTCGTCTGGGAACGTCGATGGGTGTCGTGAGAAGGGAAACCAGACGCCGGCGAAACCACTATTGCTTGTGCGGGAAGCATTTTGGGTTCAATTCGTGAACATACATGGGGTCGTCAGATTTATTTCTTCTCTTCCAACTTGAACGCAGGTAATCCATCCTTACAAAAATGTCATATGTGGACTTATTTAAAAAAATACATATATGGATAAATATTAGGAACTGGGCACATATGGCCAGATATGCATAATCAGGCCGTATCTGGACGGATAAAGTCATATCTGCCCAAATTCCTTATATACCCATATCTGCCCAGTTTCTTATATACCATATATAGATTGCTTTATATGATCCTGTGTTTGGGCCCTGCCAAATAAGGTACCCACCCCATATATAGCAATTTTATGGGGTGGTACCATACTTTCCAGGTCCAGACATAGGATCATATAATCCATTTCTACAAATATCCACAAAATATACACTTTACTGCTCTCCCACACTGTCAAACGTGTATTTACGCACGAACGCAGGTAATCCATCAAGTTGTCTGAACCACCCGCATAACGCGTTCAGTGCGTCTCCTCGTTCAAACGGCCGCATGATCGTTCAAACTACTCTGGTCTTTCAAACTTGTTCAAATTGTTGTCTGCTCGTTCAAACGATATCGGCCAGTAGACCGAAAGTTGCGGTACAAAGTGCAGGAATCAAAAGACTTCTAAGCTCCAAGGTTGTTTGGGGCAAGTAGGCTCGGTGTAAACAGTAGGTACAAGGAGATGCTGATCATTGCTACAGTTGACATCACCGACTTTTTATGCCTGATTCAATTGATTCGATTCCGCTTGCGATTGGCAGAATGGACGTCGAGCATTGCAGCTATACCATCCACACTTTTGCAGCCCGAGCGACGTCGCGACTAAAATCAGCGAGCACAATCTTCTCGTGCAAATCAGACTTCAAAGTGTCCATTCAGCGGCGTTCAGGCGGAATGAATCGCCACACGGCACATTATTTACACGGTTTTCGGTGTAACGAGATTTGTTAATTCCGTTCATGCCACTAAAGTAGTCAGACATACTCACGAAGACGTAGAATCTACAATTCTAACGTAAAAAAGAGCAATGGGACTGGAACCGATACCGACAGCATCACATTCCAATGGTTTG